ACCAACAAAGTAGCTATGCGTTGCCAGATGTAAAAAATTGTTAGTAAAAATACTGCAAAAAATAAATAAAAACTCAATAAATACAAAAGTTTTATGCCCTTAAAGCTCTAATACCCTTCTGTATTTATTTACTGATCCAGCTATTAGCTTAAGCAATGATTAGAAAATTTAGTACCTTTGAAATTTGAAATCCATAACCACAAAATTAATTTTTTCATCAGTTTTTTTCTCTGTTTACTCAGATAAAATTGGGACCATTTCACAGGTTAAACTTTAACATTTAATTTGTGTAAATAAATCCAAAAGCACTAAGATATTTACAATTTGAAAACATAACCTAAAATTTAAAAGAAATGCACTAGATTCTGTCATAAAAGTTGGCAGATTTTGTTTGAATTTACCTTCAGTACAAAAATGAAATAACCAACAATTAATAAAAACGCCAAATTGACAATTTTCATTGTTAATTTTGTCATTTTTGTAATTAAGCTAAATTTAAACAATGTTTGTCAACTTTTTTAAGAGATTTTGGAAACACTGGTTACCAACCATAACATAATAAATCCACCAGATTAACCTAAAGTTCCTAGTCGATCAGTGGCGTACTTTTTGGTAGGATAAAGGTTATTATAAATTATTTTTAGACTTTGGAATTTAGAAAAAAAAAGTTTCAGGTGCTTCTTTATGGACCCTAAGGAACAACCCATTTTAATATATAACATTAATTACATAACACTCTGTATGTATGTTAAACCAGTTTCTAATTAAACAATTATACGGTCTTTTATTTAGAATGATATAATTTATAATTAAATTAAGCATGAACATTTTTAAATATTGGTTAAAACTTTATAACATTTTTAACGATCTGATTACTTGTTCAATTTTTTTCATTATCTTAGGTCTGTATGATTTAGATAATACGTACTTACTCTCTTAAAATTAATCAGTCAAAAACAACTAGTTTTCAAAGAGAAAAAGCAGCCACTAATAACCATAGTCCACAGCAATTGGTATCTCGGATAGTTAGTTTTTATGAAAAATTGTTCCCTGAATCCGAAAATACCGTAAAAAATTAGAGCAGTTTTTGAGATATAGTCAATTCCATATTATTAAAAATTGACTATATCTTAAAAACTGTTCAACTTTTATAATTTTTGACCTAATCAGTTTTAGAGAGTACATAATATGATTTTAAACATTCACTTATTATATTTACAATTAAATTTTAATCCCAATAAACAATAAAAAACAATGTTAGAAAGCATAACCTCAAAACCAAAATACAATAGTCTACAATACAGTTAAGTTATTATTAAATAAATTATTCATTTGTATCAAATTTTTAATTTGATTGTGGGACAATATAAAATGTAGACTGAAACTCGTGAAGAATGGTCGATTATGATGATTCATAATCAACCATTTTCTTTACTTATTGGACAATAAACTATAACCCCATGTAAAGAATTTTTATTAATTAATAGATTGAAATACATGCACTTTGTTACTAACTTATTAATCATATATTTTTATAATATAACTTTTTATTTCTTTGGACAGTATAGCTTATGAATGTGGTAAAGTGTATAAAGTATATACAGGGTGTTTCATAATATATGCGCAGGACTTCAGGATGTTATAGCTCATCCAAATAGATGAAAAAAATCGAGATACAGGGTGTTGAAATTTTAGAAAAAAAATCGTTTTTTTCGAATATCTCCGAAACCGTTTATCGTATAAAAAAAAGCTTTTGTAAGCATTTTTTACTCATAATAAGCTATGTTTTGTGCCAGAAAATTTTTTTTTCATCTTTTTGGATGAGCTATCACATCCTGAAGTCCTGCGCATATATTTTGAAACACCCTGTATAAGATTGATTTATTAAATTTAAATCTTACGACTCTAATTATGAGATAAAAATTATATTATAGAATATCCAGGATTTACTTTTTTTCTTTTTAAACCCATATAAAACTTCTAAAGTTATAATTCATATTTTTCAACATTCAAAATAAAACCGCTTATAAGCATCCTTTATAAATTACATATTTTACGGAAACCAGCCTACTTAAAAATACTCTTATTCTTTTCTAAACTAAGCTAAAGTTCATAAATTTATATTAAAAGTGGAAGTTTAATAATTTTAACGGGCGTTAAGCCCAAAGAAAACTGCGAGAGAAACTATAATTCTAGAATATGAAGTTATTTTGTTCAGAAAAATGAGGTTAATTAATAAGGTACTTACCGAAATGAATCTGAAATTGTACCTACTTAACTTGTGTGTATTGATTGAAGTTATATTTTATCTTATGGAATTATTTAAAGATAATAATTTTATCTTTTTGACGAAATGGTAAGGGAGATAAATTTTGTCAAATAACAAAAATGATGGATGGTGTATTATATTTTATCTATTTTGCGTTGAAAATGACTTCATTATAACACCGCTTTTGGTGCTGTAATGAGATACTTTATTCCACCCAAAATTTTGATTTTATAGGTTGGCTACTGGTAAAATACAATTTTGAATACCTATAGGTTATAATATTTTTATGATTTGTTTTCTAGTACTTACGAGACTTTTCGTGCAATAAATTTTGTTTAACACCAAAGAAAATCCTTTTTTCTTCTTTAAAAGCCGCTTATTGTAAATACTTATTGTAAATTAACGACGCCATAGCGAAAGAATGTCATAATGTTTGAAAGGTTAATGACCTTTCAAACTTCAAACTGAGATACCAACTATGTAAAGTAAAATTCGACCAAATTAAATATAAGGTATAAAATTAATTTGTTTTATGAAATGTTTGCAAAATAGATAAAATAGCATAAAGAACTTATGTCAAAAGACCTTTTTTCGCACTCATCCATTACAAAACTCGCTCCTTCGTCGCTTGTTTTATAAATTGTCCGGGTGCGACAAAATGACGTCTTTTGACATTAGCTCTTTAATGTACTATTATCAACCCAGTTTAATAAACCAGAGTTGTATAAATTGCTTATAAAGAAAATTTAAAAAATTAAAACTCCAATGAACAAATGTGCATTAATTGCAGGTTTATAGCCTATTAACATATTTATAGGATTTTGTTTCAAAAAGCGTTTTTACCACAGAACGAACTTGGAACGGAATCGTTTCCAAAAAAAGTCTTTAATTGGGTTTTAATTGCCCTTTCCATAACAGGTAATGTAAACATGGTGGAGTGTATAAATATAAAACAAAATTTAGTTAATAAACTAAAAATAGGAAGAAACACTTTATATACAAGTAATAACACATTCAATTTTAATAAAACCTCACGGGTTACTTGTATAACAGCAATGGTGAGCAATATTCTGCACATTAGAGGTTATTTCCAATAATTTATTCAGTAGAGTACTGTTCTGCGCATCAATGTGACCAGTAATTTCACCAGAATTTCCCCCCTATAATTTTTTGAAAAATAAAGGTGGTTTTTCAAATAAACTATAGTCAAATTTCAAATAAAGTATATATACGAATATATTCGAACTTTTTGACCTCAATTTTTTTTAGAAAAGGTCACATTTTTTTGAAAGGAAAGTGGGGTCATGTAACACCTCAATAGAGAGCTCTTGAAATCTGTACTATTTCAGATTCTATACAGGGTATATTAGAAATTACGTGAAACCAAAAAATTTCATCTTATAAAATATATATGTGTACAATTTTATTTTATTTAAGAAATTTGACAAAGTGCACCAAGTATCCTTCTATGGATGGGTTTCTTTTTTATTTGAAAAGCTACAAGGTCGACCTGTCAAAACCAAATTTTATAATAATTTCAGTTTTACATGTAAACATGCTCATTTATCCACATTTTAATTCAATTTCTTTGCTACTATGTTATAAGTTACCAACACCATACCTATTTTGTTTTTATAATGGTATAGCATAATAAAATATTATAATTTTTTATGATTTTGTTAATTCTATTTCCTAAAAAAATCTAGCAAGTAGCAGTATAAAAAAACTAAATTTGACCTAATTTAATTATTAAGTTTAACCAGCAGCGTGCGAAAAAAGTTCTGGTTCTCATAGGTCAACATAATAATAAAAAATTATAATATTTTATTTATAAAATTTGAATTATTTATATTTAAATTCATACCAAATTTGGATAAAATACTTTAAAAGATAGCTGGTGAAATTCTGATGATATAAACCGTACCACCCTGTATAACTACAAAAACTTTAACTAAAAAACTTAAAATACCATGTAAAATTACAAAAATCCATATACCCTGTATGATTGCATTTACATTAATATTTTATAAGGCAATCAGCAATGAAAAAAGCTTTTTATTTGACTCCAAAAATGTTTTCTCTGACTTTAAAAGTCTAAAAAGATAACATGACTTGAGTTTTTGTTCTATACGTATTATACGTACATATAGAGTAAGTATAACTCTAAAATTTATAACGTTTTTTTTTTCATTTATCTGCGTAACTTTTCGCCCAAAACTAGGATTGGGTGATAAAAAATTAAATATAAATTTTGATTTTTATGGTAAAGTAGTAGGAAATCTTAAAATATCACCATTTTATTAAACAATACAATAAAAAATCCTAAAAATTAAAATTTTAATAAATTTGTAAAATTTGTAAATTTAAAAATAATAAAATTTAAGATATTATATTTTGTCTAGTAAAAATGCATTAAAATAAATATTCTAAAATTAAATAAAATTTAATTTAACTTAAAATTATAATTTTTCTTTAAAAAAACTAAAAACCACATAACAAATACTTTTATACTTATATATTTTTTGAGAATGAATTTAAAATATGTATTATAAATTGTAAATAATAAACGTTCGCCTTTTTTCATGCTACCTAAATTACAAACAAAACATAATATTTATAAATGGAACTATGTATCAAACATTTTTAAAAGATTACATATTACAACAAAATATTTGTGGTTTTGTGTTTTTATTACATTTTATATTAATGTTTTTCATTTGCTTTATTACAGGGCCATGTTAAGCGGTATAATCTTAGTCGTTTTTATTATGTGCTATTGTTGTCATAAGACAAACAGAAAATCCCAGTCCCATCTTCCCACCTACTGGAGGGACCCCGGATTATCCTTGGAGATTTACACTGTAGAATCAGGACAAAATGTAAGCAAATATTTTTGTCTTATTGTAGAAAATAAGATTCTCAATGTTAGCATTTTAAATTTAATACATAATAATCCGATGTATTGGAAATGCCCAAAGGTTGTTATTTTCGTTAAATATAAATATGCAATGATAATAAACTATTTAACCTATCTATAGATGGTAACATCTAACAATATTTTAATACATTTAATTATGTTCTGTAAAATCCACCCAATAAAATATTTTTAAGTATATTTTAGTAAGAGCGCTAAATTTTAAAAATTTTAGGAAAACAAGTTAAAAAAGTAATGAATGTTTAATAAATAATAAACAAAACAATTTTTGTTCTTCAAATTATTTTAATACGCAATAGTATATTATGTATCTAGTTTGATAATCGCCATTTTAGTCACGACTTAAATTAGGCACGAGCTAGCTTGCGAGTGTCCAGAAAAGTTTATAAACCAGTTGCATACTATCATTTTTTACGACAAATACTTATTATTATCTAAAAATGATTTAAATCGACACCTATAAAACAATAGAATAATCAACTTGGGAATCTGTGTTGTGTTGAAAATGTCAAATTTTTATATGTAAATCTAAAAGTATTCCTTAATAATGGACTAACAACAGTTTTTCACAGTGAAAGTAAAGACAATGTTTTATGGGCACTTTACGGTTGAGTCTCCACCCGAAATTAAGTTAATCCTAGTTTAAACACAGATTGTAAAGGTTATAAATCGAAATGTATTTCTTGAAAATTGACAGTTTTTCACAGTAAAAGTAAAGAAAATGTTTTATGAGCACTTTTTAGTGGAGTCCGTGCCCGAATTTAAGTTATAGTTTACTGCCGGCGAAATTAAAAGGTCAGTACAATGTTCATATAAACTTTTCAAATATTGGCGTTGAGAAACTATTTAATACTTTGGTATTTTTGTACCGAGATAATAAAATAAATTTTACATTTGGTATTATTTTACAAGAAATGCACTTTATTTTAACAATTGTATGACATTTGACAACTGCCAACTAACGTAAAACTAACTTTAGACGGTGACTAAAAACCTGTTGCTAACTTCAGCCCGTAACTAAAACCCCATAAAGCCACAACTTGTCAATGTGTATTTAAAAGGTCACTTAGTGTTATGAAAATATGTACGATAATGGGCGTTTTAAAGGTGGAAGTAGAAAAAGTTTTATAAAGTACGACTACAAAATGTCTTAAAGACCCTTACAATCGGCTTTAAATAGTCTTAAACGTTTTAAGCTACGATTGGTGAAAGGGGCCCGTGGGGCAATCGCTCAAATGCCAGTGTGTTGAAATCCACCATTGAACCTTATATGTACACAGTGGCGTAACTACAGGGTGGCAGAGAGGGCAAAATGCCATGGGCCCCCGGCCGAAGAACGCCCCCAGCCCGAGAGTACAACCTGTAAGATTTAAATATAATCATATATTATATCACGAGAACTATGAATTTAATCGGTTAAACTAGGCTCAGTAGTTTTTTGTTTGGTTTTGCAAAATAATTTAATAAAATCACGAGACCGCGTAGCGGTCGAGGGGTTTTATTTTTAATTATTTTGCATAAAACTATTTTCCAAAAAGAAAAATCAAATAAAAAACTTACTGAGCATAGTTTGACAGATTAAATTTATAGGTTGAGTGATATACGTCTAGATTATTCCTCGAATTAAAGGAAACTATTTGACAATTCATAAAATCTGACGTATGTGTCAAAATTTATTAATATTTTTTTAAAGAAAATTTCATTAATTTAAGGTATGTAATAAGTAATAATTAATATTTCGTAAAAGATAACTTAATTTTTATTGTTTTTTAAAAAATGTTTGTTAAAACTTGTAAATAACACCATAAAATCGTAAACAAAAATCCAATATGGAGGCTAAAATTTAATCGCTGTTAAATAGTTCTAGTGATTTAATCGCTTATTTAAACGAAATTTATTAGAAAATTCAAGGCTTTTGATTGGATCATATTATAATGAGGGAAATATTCTTTAGCAAAATGACATGAAATTACTTTTTGATATACAAGGTGTCCCTAAACTTAGTGGCATAAATTTAGGAGCAGATTAAGCAAGTCAAAATAAGACGAAAATCTAAATAAATATTTTTCCTAATTACGCATGTTTAAAAGATACAGGGTGATAAAGTTTTACTTATCATATCAGTTTTTTTAAATAACTTTTACTATGATAGACTTGGAAAGGTGATATTTTGCGAACAGTCACTTACTACCAAAACACATATTCAAACATAATTACAATTGTTCGAGTGAACACAGTGTCGTAGAAACGGGGGTTGCTTAAGCTTATAGTCCCATACAAACTTTGAGGTTGCGTTTTTATACCATTTGATGCAATTTTTTGATTACCTAGTTCGGCTAATATTAAAAAGGTATAACTCTCAAACTTCGATAAAATAAACCGTTTCCGAGATATTTGAGATAACAATAATTGTTATATCGCATTAAAGGGGGTGACGTTCATAATATCGAAATTCACTTTATCGAATTCAAAATATCCAACACTTTTTATCGAAAATCAAAATATCGAAAATACAAAATGTCGAAAATCAAAATATCGAAAATTAAAATGTCGAAAATGATAATATCGAAATTTTATTTAATCGAATTTTAATGTGAAACTAAACCATATTTTCTTATTTTGAATTTGATATTTTGTTTAAATATTTCAATTAATCGACATATTATTTTAATCCGAAGTGTATATGTATAGAGGCGCCTCTGATATAGAAATGTACTCAAACTCAACAACACAACCCAACCGACCCCGCCCCATTGGCCCCCCCCCGCCCCATTGAGCAAAAAACCCAACTAAAATGGGCTAATTTATGTAATTAAAAAGTGTTTTATTTTTATCGTAACATGAATTTGCCCATTTTAGTTGGGTTTTTTGCTCAATGGGGCGGGGGGGGGGCAATGGGGCGGGGTCGGTTGGGTTGTGTTGTTGAGTTTGAGTACATTTCTATAAAACGCGCATCTCTAGGAGCCAGGGAGCCAAGATAATTCGGTGCATAACCGTAACTTTATCTACAGAGGCGCCTCTGTACATATACACTTCGATTTTAATCATACATTTTAATTTTCGATATTTTTAAATCGATATTTTAATTTTCGAAATTTTAATTATTCGACATTTTCAAATCGACATTTTAATTTTCGATATTATCATTTTCGACATTTTCAAATCGACATTTTAATTTTAGATATTATCATTTTCGACATTTTAATTTTCGAAATTTTAATTATTCGACATTTTCAAATCGACATTTTAATTTTCGATATTATAATTTTCGACATTTTAATTTTCGATATTTTGATTTTCGACATTTTGTATTTTCGATATTTTGATTTTCGATAAAAAGTGTTCGATCTTTTGAATTCGATATAATGAATTTCGATATTGTGAACGTCACCCCATTAAAGGATTAAAAGGTATATGATAACAAATTTTTTTATTGAAAAAACTACAATTTTTGTGACGGTCAGGGCAAAAGGTCCCGAGGCTCATGGAATGCCCTTGTTGGTTTTTTCATTTAAAAATAAAATTTGTTATCATTTACATTTTAATCCTTTTAAATAATGCGATCTAACAATTATTGTAATCTCTAATATCTCGGAAACGGTTTATTTTATCGAAGTTTGAGAGGTACACCTTTTTAAACTGTGTAATCGAAAAATTGCATTAAATGTTATAAAAACCTAACCTCAAAGTTTGTATGTGACAATAAGCTTATAGCAACCCCTGTTTCTACGACACTGTATTCACCCAAACAATTGTAATTATGTGTGAATATGTGTTTTGGTAGTAAAGGACTGTTCGCAAAATATCACCTTTCCAAGACTACCATAGTAGAAGTTATATTAAAAGAACTGATATGATAAGTAACACTTTATGACCCTGTATCTTGGAAACATAAGTAAAAATAAAATATTTATTTAGGTTTTCATCTTATTTTGACTTGCTCAATCTTTTCATAAATTTATGCCAATAAGTTTAGGGACACCTTGTATAAGTATTTACTGTACTTCCAAAAGAACGAAATTCTTCTGTAAAACTTTGACAAAAGCGTTTTTAATGACAGATTTTTGAAAAATATCAGTATTGTACGATTTATGGGATTAAGACTATATTCGTAAATTTTGAATAAACAAAATTATTATGTATATAACATTAACTGAAATAATAAAACTAAATTGGGAATATACAAAATCCATTATAATTCAATAATAATTAAAATATTATTTCGTAAATGAAATGCAAAACGGACATATGGCAACATGCTGTTGATTTAAAGTTGACATTACTTCACATTGTTTTACGATTTATTGGTAAAAAAATATAATTTAAATTTAACTAAATTACTTATCTGAATTCATAAAACAACAAAAATAAATAATAAAAAAATGATTAAAGTATATTTTATTCAAAAATAAAAAGGACATAATTATGTGTAACAACATCGATTGCAGTCCGTATATTTTTGAATGCTTTTTTATTTTAATTTATTTATGCACAAAATAATTTATAAGCAACATTGAACTTCTTTAAATTAATTGGATGAACTTGCCACGAGCCCCATTGGTGATAGTTACGCCACTGTATGTACATATTAGTATTTTCAATATTTTTTTTAAGAAGTCTTTTATATTTAAATTTGAGTGCATCGGCCACTCTGAACGATATAAGATAAATTTAACTGGGGCGTTTTATCGTCCTTTACGCGAGCAACGATTACGATATAAACGTATAAAACGTATAAAACGTGTATAAAGTCTCTCGCCTATTTCTTATATAATAAACAGCAATAATTTACTGTTTATGGTGCTATTTATTATTTTATATTTAGCGGTGCAAAATATACATATTGTGCAAATTAAGTAAATAAAAATTCTCAAAGATAAGGCGCAACCAACGTTAATGGAGGGTAAGATAAAAGTTTCTTGGCAAGTTGGAATATTGAATTTT